ATTTGAAGGAACAAGGGGAAGAAGTAACTAGAGAAAATAACTTGTTTAAAAGTCAAACAAAAAAATGGATGGACAACACTAAGAGTAAAGAAGTGGCTAGAAAGACTCAACTTGAGCTTGAGAGTGAGCTTCAGAAAGTTAAAACAAGTCTTGTTGTTGAGCTTGAAAAGAATAGACAACTTCAGGAGGATTTGAATAGGGCTAAAAATGATCTTGATAAGTCACTTAATTGTACTTGGTCCACTGATGTAATAACGTCTATGTACAAGAGTAATGGTGGAAACATGCAAGGAATCGGGTTCCAAAAGGCTAAAAACTCCTGCAATCCTCATAGCAAGTATGTAGTTGTGGCTGATAATAGGTTGTGCACTCACTGTGGTCAAACGGGTCATTACAAGGACTCTTGTAAAACTAAAATTCAGTCTTTGCAGAAAAATAAAGTTTTTGTTGAAAAGAGGCATACTAATGAGGGACATGGTTCCCTAAAAAGAAAATATATGTTGCGTGCATGGGCAAAAAGAAGTTTGATCCGTCTGTTCTATCATTATAAGGGACCCAAACTAGCTTAGGTTCCTAAGTCTAATCATTGATTCAGTATGCAGGCTGAAGTGAGAGGTAGCAGTAAAAAAATGGTACATGGATAGTGGCTTCTCTAAGTATAAAATTAGAATAATGAATGATGTCCTCTCACTCTAGGCCTTCCAAGGTGGGAGTGTGTCATTTGGAAATGACAAGAAGTCTATATTTTTGGTGTTGGCAAAATTGACAAAACACTCTCCCATGCAATTGAAAATGTGTACTATGTGAATAATTTGAAATGTAGCTTGTTGAGTGTGTCTCAAATCTGTGATAAGGAAAAATGAAGTGAAGCTCTTGTCCAAATATTGCATTGTCACCAATCTCAAAACTGGTGAAGTAGTGTTGATAGCCAAAAGGTTCAAGAACATCTATGTTGCAGATCTTGATTCACTTAATGGTGGTGATATAACATGCTTAAGTGTCATTAATGATGATGCTGAGTTATGTCATAGATGACTGGGGCATGTGAGTTGTTATTTGCTGAATAAGTTGGTTATGGAGAACCTGGTTCATGGGCTGAAGCAGTCAACCCTTCTTGCTACTTGCTTAACAAGTACATGATCAGGTCCCTTCTCGAGAAGTCTCTCTATGAACTGCTCAATGGGAGAAAACTCAAGTTGACTTACCCGGGAGCCTTTGGATTCAAATTGCTGTGTTTTCAGCAATGGTGGCAAAGGGTTACATAACAAAGAAGATGAAGACCTAGAATTCACAAATGCTCCTGGTGAATCTATAAATGTTGCAAATGGAAAGACTAATTTGATGTGTCAAGTCAAGTAGAGCAATGTAGAAGATAAAGCAAAATCTCCAAAAGGCTCAAAGAGACACGGTCTCTCGATGATTGGCTATGTTAAGAAAGAAAGGTACAATGCTAAAAAATATTTTTCGATGACATCTAACTCAAATCTATACTGTTACAGGTATATACATATGGCCATTTCAGGACAAAAACAAGTAAGAGTGACATTGCAGTTCTAGGAATCTTTGCTCAAAATTTTCAAAAAACGTCAAGGAACCCGGTTCTTGTGACTCATGTTAGTAGTCTCCAATACTTATATGCCTTTTTAAGCTGCTGAAGTGTCATGTCATTAATTTATTCCTGTCTCTCTCCTAATTTTTGAAGTCCAAAATATTAAACCTCTTCTGAACTGACTTGTTGTCTCAAAAAGAATCTCTCTCTCCAAATATACCAGAAGTGAACCCAACTCTATCACTTTCCAAAATCCTAACTCCATATGAATCAAAACCCCAAGAAGTCTTTGGTAGATTTTGATGGAAGTTTAATTGAAAGGGAACGAGGCTGAAATTATTGTTGGATTTGTAGAAGTCTTGAAGGATGGAGAAATTGGTAAATGTGCAAACTAAATGAAGGACCTGATCCCTCAAGTCCTTCTCGGGAAGTCAATTTTAATAATAATCTTTTTCTTTTTGAGTTCTGTGTTTAAACGAACTTCCGATCCAGTAAAAAAATTGATGAAAAGTAGGATGATTGATGATGAAGTGGTGTGACCTGTTGAGGGATAGAAATGGTAGTGTAAGTGAGGAACCTGGTTCCTTACAAAAGCAAAAGATTGAGTCATCAGGTTTTGAGAGGTAGAAGACTCTGAAGTCTCAAAAAGTGCTGTTAGGCAGAGTGTTGACTCTGATATTGCTGAAAAATAAAGGAACTTCTTGACACTGTTGAGTTCCAAAAATAGAATCACCTCTTTGTTCCTCCAAGTCCCAACTTTTATGAAGAATAAGTAAAAACTTTTATGTTTTATGTGATACTCTGATGCTATATGTGCATGGGACTAAGTTTGTTCTTGACGAGGAGAAGCTTGGGGAGATTCTTGGTGATCTGATTAATGGTTCAGCCTGCTCAAATAGGTAAAGAACCAGGTCCTCGTGGACCCTTGATAGAATAGAATGCTAAGTTGAAGGGTGAGAATGAAAGATTGAGGAAATATGTGGAGGAACTGAGAGAGCAGATGATCATTGATCAAAGGAGAGTGAATGAATGAATGGACAAGCTCATTAAGGCCTTAGCCCCTTACTTTTCTTCCTGCCCAGTAATCCATGTCTTTCACTCATTCCAAATTCCCTCAAATTCCTATCTTCTTTTGATCCCTATATTTTATGACATTGGTACTTAGTTGTTTAAATTGTCATATTCTGTATTATTGAAACTACTATGCTTTTGTTAAAATTACTCTACTATGGGCAATCACTCTATTTTGTGCAATGACATTCACTTGTTAATCTTGTTATTATTTATGTTGTGTTGCCCAAGTGGCATGAGTTAATGTTGCTGAACTTCTTTTTGGTTGTGCTTCTTCTGTTATTCTTTTCAATGATGCCAAAAAGGGGAAGTTACATAAGTGTCAACAGGGAGAGGACCAGAATCGAATTGATATGATGTGTTGTGCATGAAAGATAGCTTTGCTTCACAGGGGGAATGTTGCCGATATCATGTTGATTATAGGTCCGATCCGCAGGGGAACATGCGAGGAATCTGGTTCTCAAGGGGAACATCAATTTTGGGTTTGTCACTATCAAAAAGGGGGAAATTACTCTAAGTTATGATATTTCACGTTTTGATGATTTGCCAAGGTACGAACCAGATATGATCAGTACATGTAAGGAATCTGATTCTGAGGGGGAATATCAATTTGGGGTTCGTCATCATCAAGAGGGGGAAATTGATAAGTTATGGTATCTTGTGTTTTGATGATTTTCCAAATAATCTTGAAGAACCAGTTGTAATCAATTCCTTTGGTCTGGTTCTCATGGGGAATATGACTGATTCACAGGGGGAACAATGTGGAGATCTGGTTCTCAGGGGGAATATCAATTCTAAATTTCTCATCATAAAAAAGGAGGAAATTGATAAGCTATGCGTCTTTTGTTTTGATGATTTGACAAACTTCATGAGAGAAACAGATAAGCAACCTGATACAATTAGTTCTCTTGCATTTAGAGTAACCAGTCAGATGTCTGGTTCAATTCTCAACAAAGCAGATAAAGGAACAACAGAGGGAACATATATGGACCAGTTCCCCTGGTCGTCATATAGTCAACTCGACAACTTCAAACATTCTCAAGACTTTAAGATCACAATGTATCAGTTTGGGATCCAGTTTGGGATATGGCTCAACTCTTCAGAGTCGAAGGAACAACTAAGGGAACAAGTCCCTACCGGTTCCCGAGGTGACTGTACAAAGTCAACTCTCCAGCTGGAAAGTGTTGCATGCACACGCTACAATGCAGTAACAATGCAACAATCACCTTTCTACAGAAAACTTTTTACCTACCTTGCTTACATTATTGTATGTGAGGTCACACATGTATTATTAACAACAAGGGAGGTAAAACACAATCACTTGAACACTTGCAAATCAAAAAGAAAATATTATCTGAAGTGCTGGCCACAACCTCTCTCAAGAACAAAGCTGCTGCAACCTCAAGGATCAGATCCAAAGATTGAAGATATCTTAAGTCCTTAGGTTTGTTGAGTCTTTGTTATTTGTTCCTCATTTGTAACTCCTACTTAGCTTAGTTAGAAGCATTGTGTAGGAAACCCTTTGTAAATCATAAACTCTTGTGTTTGTGTCTTGGCTAGAGTTAGTCGAGTTGTGAAGTCTTTGTAATAGAGTTATTACAAAGTGGCTTGTAATAGTGTTGTTACAAGTTAGTGAGTGATTAAGTCTCTGTAATAGAGTTATTACAAAACGACTTGTAATAATGTGGTTACAAGTTAATGAGGGATTACGAGGTTAATTCATAGGCTACAATAGGTTGTAATCTAAAGATTGCTCAGTAGTGAAGTTAAAATCCTACAATGGTAGGTCGTGGTTGTTTTCCACGTAAAATTCCTCTATGTTCTTTATTTAGTGCCGATTTACTGTGGGAACAAATAGAGAACCTAGTTCCCTATACTGTTGCTTACGGTGAGAACTGATAGAGAACCCGGTTTGCTATATAGTTTGGTGGATGCTTAGTTTCTATCAAACTGAAATTTGATAAGTTGGAGGAGACCAACTTATGGTTTTTGGCTTATAAGCATTTTTAATTTATCAAATGTGTAGATAAGCCAAAACGTGCTTATAAGCCACTTTGACCAGCTTATAAGCTTAGCCAAACACACTCTTAGAGAAGTGCTCTAAACTTATTTTTCAATTCCATCTTTATAAATTTCAAATAAAATACTCTTTTCTCTTATTTGCAAAAAGTATAACCAAACACAATTCCATCTCCAATTCCAACTTCATAAATTTCAAATTAAGGACGAAAAAATATTTAGAATCGATGGCCAAACGCTTACTTAGAGTCGTGATTAAAATTTCAAATTATAAAACAGCTTTTAATAACTTTACAAACTTTGATTATTCTCTAAATAGTTAAGTTATAGTTATAGTTATCATTAAGACTGTGCACTTCGCCAGACCTAAGGACACAAACCTTGGCCTAACCCCCAAATCACGACCCGAATAGGTCAAAACGGGTTGAGAAGTCTTTCGAGTTTCGACTAAAATCAAGTTAAATATCACGCATAACACACAACACATCTGCAATATTCTCCATAATTTTTCTCTACCGACCGACGTTCATACATCAAAAATCTCCTTCTCTACATTGAATACTATCTGTTCTTCAATCTGAATAATTTTACTGCCTTCTCTTCCCAATCAATCGATATTTGTTGTATTTCTCCTTTTTCTTATATCTATTCTCTGTTTTTTTCCTTCTTTTTGTTTTATTTTATCTCAATTTGTTGCTGCTTTATTCGAGGCTGATTGTAACCGCGTTCCTTGAAGACTCAAGCTGTTGAATTATTCAGATTTCGGTTAGTCCTTTTATTTTCCTTTTTTTATATATTAAATTTCTTTGAATATTAGGCTGCAATTCCAATCCCAGCTAGGTTCTCCTTTTTTGAACCTATGAACTATAGAAAATAATTTTAGAATGTTACACTTGGAACTTGAACCTGTGAGCTAAAAGTTTTTTAATCATTTTACCACTACACTATAATTTTACCTTAAGACAAGAGATTCAACAGTTTCTATATATCCAAAAAAAAATCCTTTTTTTCTCTAGTTGCACAATATTATTTCCGATAAAGGGGATCCAATTGAATCCCCTCGGCTTTACATAGCTTCGCCTTGAGGCGAATGCAGCCATATAGTAACCGGTTCTTTCGATGCAGTGTATAAATTTGGGTATAAAAGTTCACTAATACTGCAACAAATAGTAGGTCTGTACCCATATTTTAAAATATAATAGGTTTAATACTAAAAACCTTAAAGGTTGAACCCTTAGAGTTTAAATTCTGGAGCGGTCTGGTCCGCCCCTGGGTGAGCATGTAAATAGTTCGGGATAAATTTAGGAAAGGACACCTTTAGAGGATTGGAACCGTGCACCAGTGACACAGGTAGGTGGATATATGTGCATCAGGCTGCAATTCCAGTGCTAGCTAGGTTCTTTTTTTCTGCAATATATCTTTTGGAGTGATGGGCGGGCTGGTAAATAGTCGGGATGGAAGTGCAGTAAAGAAAACTTTTGTGGGATTTGAACCACCTGCGACGTAAATAAGTAGAGTTGTAACCATTAGGCTGCAATTCAAACCTTAGCTAGTTGTGTTCTGTTTATTGTTTATTTTTTCGGGTTTTGTCATAAATGTCTGAATGCGATTTTTTTTGTTTAAGCAGGATGCTAATGAGAGGATGATGAATCAAGGAAGCACTACTAACACGATGGCCACTTTGGATCCCAGTCCACAGGAGGTAACCACCTGAATTTTGCGTTCTTTTCTCTTATTCAAACTTTGTTTCTGAAAGATGTATATTTTTAGTGGCCCATATAGTTTTCTCCTTGTCGCATATTCTTGTTTTTTTCGCTTTATGCATACTTAGCATATGTGATGATTTTGTCAAAATGAACACTAAGATAATGGCGGGATGAGGCCGATGGAATTAAACTTTTTCTTTTTCTTTTTCCTTTTTTGTTAGATAAGTGAGTTTTTTGGTTGTCCTGCTATTGTTTTTCATTTTTGATATTATTTATATATTTACTCCATCCATACCAAAAATAATTGTGGTGTTAGGAATATGAGGGTAAACACATTACACAGTGGCAGATGCCGAACTTAGGCACCGTTTCCAAGTTGAAGAGTGAGTTCTAAAATGTTTATCTAACTCTATATTTTTCACACACTTATAGGGTTCTACCAAACCCGTGAACCCGTACTTGGATCTGCCACGGGTAAATACATCTGATAGCTCTTGTAAATTTGGACATCAATTCAGAATATTTTAAGTAAAATTTTATATTCAAAAGCTATAAGAAGTACTAGAAATCACAATCATCTGTTTTTCTTTTAAATTTATGGAAAGGTAAAGATTTTATTAAAAAAAGTACCAAGAAGGTAGTGAGAGAATACATACAAAAAGAGCACATCCTCCTACAGGCGGAAAAAAAATTCCTACTATTAAAGTGCGGAAGATATGGGATTAAGCTGGGTTTGTTGTTGTTGTAGAGTGCGGAAGATCTATTAGACAAAGATATGAAAAAAAATCCTATTGGATGAAGGAGTTCGGAAGGTCTAGCAAAGAGTCAAAATCGGATACAATACTCTTCCTGCCCCACATATAGAGACTATTTAAAAACCTAAATTATTTGAATACTTCATAGTTAAAGTGCTTAAGATTGTTAAAAAAGATCGTAATTAAAGAAAAAGTTGTTTGGCTTCTCGCATGATACCATTCTGGATTAGTCGGGCCAGCGTGTTCCGCATTCTTGATAACTAAACCAACAAAAAAAAAAGCATTGCCATTTTTTGGGGATTGAGAGGGTATATATCTGTTCTGATAACCTTAGCAGTTTGTAAATTAACCCGATACATAATTAGTAGGTAGGAGAAAGTAAGTGCAAGAAACTAACTAAGAAGAAAGTATATGAAACCAACTTAGGGGAAAGTATAAGAAACCAACTTAGGAGAAAGTAAGTGTAACAGGTAAGGTTTTACCGAACCAACTTAGGGGAAAGTATAAGAAACCAACTTAGGATAAAGTAAGTGTAACAGGTAAGGTTTTACCGTTTTAGTGCCGAGTAGGTGGCATCTGTTATTGCTTTGGTATCACGTTAGAGATTTCTGGGGTTCCATTGATGGGACCAAAGAGGCTTATGGGAGGTGTATTCTTTGAAAAGCCAATTACTTCATATGAAGATTTTTTTTATTTTTTTTGGGTAGGATTGATGTTTGACCTGCTCATACCGTCCTTAGATTTTAGCTCACTTGCATAAATATTCTTTATCTTTTTCTTTTTGAAATGTATATACAACTATTAATGGTTACTAATGAGATACGGAAGGGTAAGAATTCCTGATGTAGCTACGGCAAGTCACTCGAGAATCTCTGATACTGAAGTGATGTAATTGACTGTCTTGTGCTAGTGGTGTTTGGAAGTAATGAATCAAGAAGCTTTGTCTGTTTAACCATCAGTATAAGCATGAAAGGCAATACTAATATTTGGTAAATTGGTGTGGCATGTTAATGTTTAAGTTGCTGGTTGTGGACATTATTGTGAAACAAGTGTAAATAGATCTTGTTAAGGTCATGTTTGATGCAAGACTATTGACTATCTTTATGTTGAGAAACTGGTTCCTATGAGCCGCATCTGTGTGCATAAAAGTCTGTTAAGCTGTAAGCTAGTTAGCTCTTGCCTTTTACGGACAGGGCATTCATTGCATGTGTAATTTCTGGTCATTGTGCATCTTGTGATAAAAGTTTGCTCCACTTGAATGGTGAAATCATTTAATGCTTCTCTTCATTTCCGTCCACTAAAGCTCTTTTAACGTGCTTATATTTACTATTCTTCTTGAACTGTATTGTGTACCTCGCTTGCTGTACTTTGTTCCACAGTATTTTCAGGATAGGTGGGTTAATTTCTCGTTATATGACTGGAATCCTTTTTCTTCTTTATAGAGTCATCAGGTTGTCGATGCAAACCAACATCACATGTCTTCATATTACGCCGCTCCAAATTCTACAGTCACACCATGGGCTCATACTGCAGATAGCTACGCCAGAGAAAATGGAGTTCTCTCACATTCTGGTTATGATCATGACCAACGAGCTGCGCTGCCTTCAAGGAATGTTCAAGATGGATTGAATGTTGCAACTAGTGCTACTACACCAAGTTCCGGTGACACAAATGTACAGCAAGACTATAGTAGCTATGCCACCTATCAAAGTACTGATCCTTATGGCTACAGCAATACTGGATATGCTGCTTATTATAGTGGCTATCAACAGCAATCTAATCAATCATATTCTCAGCCATCAGGAGCATATCAAAATACAGGTGATAATGGCTATCAACAGCAATCTAATCAATCATATTCTCAGCCATCAGGAGCATATCAAAATACAGGTGATAATGGCTATCAACAGCAATCTAATCAATCATATTCTCAGCCATCAGGAGCATATCAAAATACAGGTGATAATGGCTATCAACAGCAATCTAATCAATCATATTCTCAGCCATCAGGAGCATATCAAAATACAGGTGATAATGGCTATCAACAGCAATCTAATCAATCATATTCTCAGCCATCAGGAGCATATCAAAATACAGGTGATAATGGCTATCAACAGCAATCTAATCAATCATATTCTCAGCCATCAGGAGCATATCAAAATACAGGTGATAATGGCTATCAACAGCAATCTAGTCAATCATATTCTCAGCCATCAGGAGCATATCAAAATACAGGTGATAGTGGCTATCAACAGCAATCTAGTCAATCATATTCTCAGCCACCAGGAGCATATCAAAATACAGGTGCTCCTTATCAGCCCCTTTCCTCATTTCAGAATACTGGGTCTTATGCTGGGCCTGCAAGTTATTCAAGCACTTACTACAATCCTGGTGATTACCAGACATCTGGAGGTTACACAAGTGGTGCTTACAATAACCAGACCAACGTATGGCACGAAGGGCAATATGCGGCATACACTTCCCATCAGTATCCCAGCTACAGTTCTGATACGAATGCCTCATACAGTTCGACCACAGCCCCTGCAGCTTCACAGTATCAGCAACAGTACAAGCAATGGGCCGATTATTACAACCCTACACAAAATGATGTCACATGTGCTCCTGGAACAGAAAATATTTCTGTTTCTAATGTATCCAGTCTGAGTTGCCCCGTCCCTGCTGGATACTCAGCTTCAGGTGTCCATGCCTCGGCATCTCATGCTCCACCTGGCAAGCCAGAACCTGGTTTGTCCACATTGGCTGCGGTGCAGGTTTTTCCTTTACATGCAATTCACAAATAAGTTGCTCTCTGTACTCAGTATTAGATTACTTAACTTTTATGCAGGCCTAGAGACTCCTATTTGAATACCTGTCGTCATGTAATTCACATATAAGTTCAAAACCGGTGTTTTAGCAGCCTAACTGATGGGAAACATGGATGATAAAGCATGTACCATGCTCATATAAATTTTAGGATTCTTGCATCTAGTAAGTAAAATTAAAAATATTAGTAGGATTTTCCTGAGTCATTCAAGGCACCATGGGTGTCTCAACTAAACTAATGCAGAAAATGTGAGTCTACTGAATGTGTCTCTGGTTGATGGATGTACTTCACAAGTGCCCCTATGAAGTGGTGCCTTAGAAAATTATGAACTCGACATTAAGGAAGATTACACGCTAGCTCATTGAAATGTCAAACTTGACAGTTGAAATTTTTCTTCTTCTTTTTCCCCCTTTCTAATCCATATATATACTTAATAACTTGACAAGGCTAAAACTATTGTATTTTCTCTTACTGTTTCCATGTTGAAATTATATGTTTTTTCTGAGCTGGTATGTAAGTATATTATAGAATAAACAGCAAAGCACTAAGAAAGTGCTTTGTAGGTACAAGTCAGGAAAACACCTGTGCAAAAACAAAAAGAGGGGCACCTATCTTTACAGAAATCGATTCCTGAGTGAATTCATGAAACCTAACATACTGTTTTCATCCTTTACATCCTATGAGTAGCACCAAAAAGCAAAAAACCAAAGACGTTTGTACTTTAACATTAGTATAGAGAAAGCTTTCCTTCAAAACACCTAGCATTTCTTTCAGTCAACAAAACCCAACAGATACAAGCTGGCACTGTAACCCACAGATTTCTTGCTGGTTTCCTGATCCCACTTTTGCCCCAAACGATTAACAGGTCTTTCACAGTGAAAGGCATGACGAAAGACAAGTTGAAAAGATTGAAAAACAGATCCCCTAGTTGCCCTGCCACTGTGTAATGCACAAAGAGATGGCTGCTGAACTTTCCTCCTTGTTGCATAAGTAGCATCTGCTGCAAATGCTCATTCCCCTTCTCTGTAAATTGCTTTGTGTCAGACAAGCATTGTAAGCTAACAACCACATAAAGCAGGATGCCTTTTGAGGAGCTTTAGTTTTCTAGATCATCTTCCAGGGATTGACTGTACTGTTCAGCACCTTGTTTAACTTACTGTAGCAAGAGCCTACTTGAAAAAAACACCATTCTGTTGCCTCAGCCAGAGTAATTGATCAGCTTCATCAGTTAATAAAGTCATCTTATGCAGATATTTTAGCAAGAGAGCCAATCTTGGAATTTCCCAATCACAACATGGTTTTCTAAGGTTGAAACACCAGCTGTATAATGTTGGAATAATTAAATGTGAAGTCCTCTAGTATAATTACAGAAGGCTTCTTTCTAATTAATTAATGATACAATCTTACATACCTAAGTGGATCACATTTTAGGTTAACTTGCTATTTTAGTTTTTCTTTTGTTCGACAAGCTACTAAAGATCTGGTAAGCAATACCTGTATGCTCTTTTAACTCTGCTGTCTAAATATCATTTGTGTTTACTGTACCTTTAACAATCTGGATGTTCAACAACTTCTATCCTGTATTATTGAGTGCCTATATTCACCAGAAGAAGATATGTTATCTACTGTCATTGCAGTCAGCAGGGAGTCCCTCATTTTTTTGGTTTTCACTACTCAATACACTGAGAAAAGCCATTTCAAATTACTCTTCTCTTCATGTTATGCAAACTTTGGGGTTCTTTTATTCGCTTGATGAACTCAACTATCAATGGTTTTTTGTCAGTCTCCTGCTGTAGGTGGCAATGTTCATGATAGTTACTGGAAACATTGGGCTCCGTCTTTCCAAAATCAGCAGCCTGATCCAGTACAGTCTTATGGTCAAAAGCCTTTAGACGTGACCCCTTCTCATGACAATCTTCATACTCAACAAAGTTCTTCATGTCCCCAAGGACCAAGCACACAATATCAGGCCTCTTATCAGATGCCCCATAGTTATCAGTCATCCTTGCCCACTGTACAGCAAACTGTTACATCAGCAGACACGAGCAGCGCAAGCAAACTACAGATTCCCACAAACCCTAGAATAACTCCAACCTTGACCACGGGATTACCAAAACTGGATAAGCAAAGCTATACAACTAATGCAGCGGCAAAACCTGCATATGTCAGCGTTTCCTTACCAGAAAAAGTATCATCTCATGCTGCTGATAATGCTCTCAAGGTCAGACACCTTTTCCTTGATCATTTTTTTCACTTGCTTCTTGATAGTCTTTCATCATGTGCTGGTTAAGAATACAAAATGTAGATCAGTTAGAAGTTAACTGATTTAGTGCCCCTTTCTGTTATATTTGTTGTAAGCTTCTCTTAGAATTGGTTAAGTGATAATTGTAGATCAGTTAGAAGTTAAGTGAGCTAGTGCCCCTTTCTGTTATATTTGTTGTAAGCTTCTGTTCGAATTGGTTAGGTGTCAAGTGATTTCTTATGATCTGTTTTCTCATATAACTTACCGAACTTTGTCTTCAAAAAGAATGATATGGTTCTAAGGAAATCCTTTTAATAGCAAATGATTCTCTGCGTTTGACAAGAATGATATAGTACTAAAATAGACCTTTAAGTAGCCAATGAACCTCCGACAATCTATTATTTATCAAGTGCATTTGGTGAGTAACTTCTCAGAGTGTATTTGGTGAGCGGTATCATTTTATCAACACCAGCAAGATTAACTTAATTTATTGCTCGTGTTCCATATATTCTTTGATGCGTGTTCTTCTTTTTAAGGGAGATTCTTGAAAAAGTTATGGGCAATATTGGCAGAATAGTTATGCAGAAAATATTTTGATAAACAGTGAATTGGTAGCTCGGGTGGTTGGTTGTGGATGCTTTGCTACAGATTGAAGTTAAGGGCTTTTAAAAGCTCTCATTACTATTGGTGTATTAGGAGAACCTTTTGAGTGGTTCCAATGAGTCGCCTATGGACAAGCTCATATATTTAATCTGGGAGAAAACAATTGCACTCGTAGCTCGACTCTTTCAGTGAGAGATGGATTTTATTTGATAATCATTTTCTTGGTAATTTAAACATGTCTGTCATATATCCATTTATCTATATATTGAGATAGTGATCAAATCTACTGAGATTTATGCAGTTTCTGGGTAAATATAAATCCTGCTACGGTAGAAGCGGGGCAAACTCTTTCCCCATTATAAATTTCGTTGAGTTTAAGTTTCAGGAGTAGGTTGGAGAATAGCGGAATTGTTTTTTCCTGCTTGGCGTCATTACAATTTTTGAAGTGGAAAACTACATGCTGGCTTGCTAAATTTGTTAACTCAATTAATAATGAATTGATTGGTCTACGCATGTTGGGCTTCTTGTAAATGCAGTGGTACAAATACCAATTATTGTAGCGTATTTCATATTTTCACTTATTATTATTATTATTGTTATTATTTAACTATTTATATTTTGGAAGTGTTGACCTATTTTATGCTTCTCAAGTTTAATGCTTTTGCTTATTTTATAGTTTTATTTTCTTAATTCTTAACTTTAATATTGTCATTCATATTGAAAATACAGCATTACGGCTAATTAACTGCATGCACAATCTTTTTGACCTTTTATCTTTATATTGAGTTAGTCTAATCACGAATGCAAAGTATCTCAATTTTGGTAAGACTGCTGATTTTGTTGAACATCCAAGGAAGTTAACATTCTTGGCAGCTTTTTGCTATATGATACTTTGACGCTGCAATCTTCTATGTTGTTGATTGATTATTCAAATGCTAGGTTTTATTGATGAATGTTAGTTTAACTGCTCTTGCTTGTCTATTGTCTCCACACTATCTGGGAAACCTTGGTATTTTATTGTACTGGTGACTATTAGTTAGGATCATTGTGACATGTCGTAACATGGTACTTGTTGTTGCATTGCATCAAATAAGTAGTGGATTATCAATTTTCCTTGTGTAACCAAAGTGATCTTTCTGTTGTCTGCAGCCTGATGCTTTTCCAAAATCACTTCGTGGTTATGTTGAAAGGGCTTTGGCTCGTTGCAAGGATGATGCTCAAATGGTGTCATCCCAAGCTGTCATGAAGGAGGTATCTTAGTGTATTTTTAAATTTTCTCTCTTGGTCCTTATCCATTTCCTGCCATGTAATATATTCTACACAGATATTTCTAGACTTATGAGTTTTCAGATTGTATATTCTCGGATCATAATGGTAGAGCATAGAGCGAGGAGTGTCATTCCGCTAAAAAACAGAAGTGGTGTTGATGATGATATTGCCGTAAAATTAAAAAGAATTCAAATTAGAGATGTGAATACACATTTCTGTAGTTGGTTTTTAGCATTACATAGACATGACCTTTTCTCAAAATAAGGATTTTGAAGATGGTTAAAACATGATTTATTAGAGGTTTGACAGGCTGATTCAGCACACATACATTATCAGGATTTGAATGAAGACCAAGGTTGTATGCCCTGTTAGATTGAAGTCCTCCCCTCTCTTTTAAGTTTGAGCCTTTGAAGGAACTATGTTTTAGTAGTTTTTCTAATATTATACGAGCCCTCTTTTTATGTTTTCAATGGCCTCTTTTTTTTTTTTGATAAGGTAAAATGTATTAATCAAAAGGGATAGAACTCCCGCGTACAAGAAGTATTAAAAAAGTAGAGAATTTACAACAGAACATGATTCTCTACAAAAGAAGCCCAATCTTCCATACACGTAGGTGCTATATGGGTGCACAAGAATGCGATTAAAGATAAAAGACTATTCCTAAGGTTAGAAAAACTAGACTCAATCCCCTCAAAAGCTCTCCTGCTTCTCTCCCCACAAACTATCCACATGAGAGCTAAGGGGGCGAACTTCCACACCTTTTGCTTTCTTCTTCGACGGGAACCGGCCCAGCTGTATAGCATTTCCTTAATAGTGCTAGGCATGACCCATTGAACTCCAAAGAAGCACAAGATTGCTCTTCACAGGCCCGCTGCAACCGGGCAATGTAGTAACAGGTGATCAACTTCTTCCCCTGAAATTTTACACATGTAGCACCAACTAACAACTGTAATTCCTCTCTTCCGCAAATTTTCAGCAGTCAAGAACACTCCTCTCGCTGCTAGCCATGCAAAAAAACACACCTTCGTGGGCATTTTAGGAATCCAGATTGATGAGCATGGAAAATTGGCCTCATCTCTCACCAGCATACTCTGGTAATAAGACTTGACGGTGAACAGACCATCTCCACGCAGCCCCCATCTCCAAGAGTCGCTAGAAGTATGTGTCCTATGTTGGCCATATAGCAGTGCCAACAAATCTTGGAGTTCTGCAATCTCCCAATCTTGCATGTTCCTTCTAAATGAGAGGTCCCATACTATGCCCCTTTCATGCTCCTTGCGAATCTGTTGGACCATCAATTCCTTCTGGTTCGAAACTCTGTAGATGTTGGGGAAAGAGACCTTCAGAGTATCCTCTCCACACCACCTATGATTCCAAAAGCTGATTCTCCTTCCATCTCCCACCCTATAAGTGATGTTTTCATTAAAGTCTTCCCAATTCTTCATGATGCTTCGCCACATGCCACACCCAAAAGGTGATGTGATTGCCTTAGTCCTCCAGCCCGTATCGTGGAATACCCTAAGATCTTTTACTCCTAGACCTCCCCACTTCTTTGGGGAAGTGACTGTCTGCCAATTCACCAGATGAAACTTACTAGTTCCATCCGCCACATCCCAAAGAAAATTCCTTTGAAGCCGCTCTAGTTTTTCTACGATGCTCACAGGAGCTTGCAGCAGGGACAAGTAATACGTGGGCATGGACGATAAGGTGCTTTTAATAAGCATTTCCTTACCGCCTTTTGATAAGTAGCGTTTCTGCCATCTTGCTAATCTTTTTTCCACCCTTTCGATTACCGGGTTCCAAACCGAAGTATCCTTGTGCAAAGCTCCCAAAGGGAGGCCCAAATAATTAGTGGGGAGAGAGTCCACCTTACATTTGAGAACGAGAGACAAAGCATTAATGTTAGCAACGTCACCCACTAGAAAAATCTCACACTTGCCAAGGTTGATCTTTAGGCCTGATACTATCTGGAACCACTGCAGTACATGTTTCAGGTTGGTTAGTTGCTCTATATCCGCGTCACAGAAAACCAGTGTGTCATCTGCAAAAAGCAAATGAGAGACTCTTCGTGCAATGGGAACCCCGATCGGAGCTGAGAATCCTCGCAAGAAACCTCCGCCTACCGCGCGATCCATCATTTTACTCAGAGCATCCATCACTAAAATGAATAACATGGGTGATAGTGGGTCACCTTGCCTGAGACCCCTGGAGCTGCCAAAGAAACCACACGGGCTACCATTAACAATAACAGAAAATTTGACTGAGGAAATGCAGTACTTGATCCATCCCCTCCATCTAGCTCCAAATCCCATTTGCATCATGATGAAATCCAGGAAATTCCAATTTACATGGTTGAAAGCCTTCTCAAGGTCCAACTTGCATAGTAATCCGGGTTCTCTATTTTTCCTTCTGGAGTCTACCAATTCATTTGCCACCAAAGCTGTGTCCAGGATCTGCCTTCCTTCCACAAATGCATTCTGGGAGGACGACACTGTCACGTCAAGAACCCTCTTGAGCCTATTGGGTAGCACTTTAGAAATAATCTTGTAAATGCTCCCCACTAGGCTAATAGGCCTGTAGTCTGTGATAGAAGTTGCACCCTCTTTCTTAGGCACAATGGTAATAAAAGAAGCATTGATGCTTCTCTCGAAAACACCATTCAAGTGGAAGTATTCAATGGCTTCCATTAATTCCCCCTTAATGGTGTCCCAAAAAACCTGGAAAAAGGCCAAGGAAAAACCATCAGGCCCAGGGGCTTTATCACCAGCACAACTCGACACAGCTTCGTGCACCTCCTCCTCCTCGAAAGCCCTCTCTAGCCACTCACTGTCTCCCTCCCCTATATGGTTAAACTTTATTCCCCCTGAAGTAGGCCTCCAGCTAGCTTCGTCCTTGTACAGTTTTTCATAAAACCCCACTATCGCCCCTTTGACCTCTTCCTCTCCCTCCATTCTCACCCCATCCACCACTACAGATTGTATGAAATTCCTCCTTCGATTTGCAACCGCAACCCCGTGGAAAAACTTGGTGTTTAAATCTCCCTCCTTTAACCACAGTGCCCGTGATTTTTGTCTCCAACTAGTCTCCTGAGCTACTGCTAACTCAGCTATTTCCCTTGTAATCTCCCCCAATCTTTGTTTCTCGGATTCATCTAACTCTTTCACCCCTTCCCTCTCTCTAACTCCCTATGTTCATGCATAAGCTCCCTCATTTTAACCTCTACCCTCCCAAAAACCTCCTTATTCCATCTAATGATATCTCCCTTGAGCAATTTGAGTTTCTTTGAAAGACGGAATGAAGGTGTCCCTGGCACCCCGTAGCTTGTCCACCATTCTTTCACTTTATCTCCAAAACCTGGCACTGTCAACCACATGTTCTCAAATCGAAAAGGAGCGTGTGCCCCTCTTCCTCTGCACCTATCTAGCAAAATAGGCATATGATCTGAAGTTAGCCTAGGTAAAGGAATCTGTAGCACATTTGGCACTAACTCGTCCCATGAGGGCGATATCAGGAATCTATCAAGTCTTGACCTTGAGTTGGAATCCTCCGCCCTGGCCCAGGTGAACCTTTCCCCTGACAGAGGAAGGTCAATAAGAAGATGATCATTGATGAAGTCAGAAAACTCCTCCATGGCCCTTGAAATCAAATTGCAACCGATTCTCTCCTCTGGAAATCTAATAGTGTTAAAATCTCCCCCTAAAACCCATGGAATGTCCCACTCCCCCATAACATTTGCCAGTTCCTCCCAGAAAAGTACCTTGGACCCTTCTCCTACCGGTCCGTACACTCCCCCAAATCCCCACTCCACCCCAGTCACCCTATCTTTTACAAGAGCCGCTAAGGAAAAGCCTCCCTTCTTGACCTCCTTTACCTCCAAACTTCTATCATCCCACATAAGAAGAATACCCCTTGCACTTCTCGCTGATGGGACCCAGTCATATTTTACCCAACTACCTCCCTAAACACCGTATNGCGTACATATTACCCTCCCCAGACCCCACTTGTGGAATTATACTGGGTCATTGTTGTTGTTGTTACCTCCCTAAACACTCCTAACAATTGCGTCCTACACGACTTCCATTTTGGTTTCCTGAAGACAAACTAGATTGGCACCCCACTCTCTAACTCCCACCTTGATGATGACCCTTTTGTTTGGGTCATTCATCCCCTCACATTCCATGAAAGGATCTTAACTTCCATAAGAAGCAATATCCCCTATCTCCATACCTCCCCTTGCCGAGCTCCCTTCCTCCCTGTCGGACACCCGGCCCCTTCTCTGGTACACCACTACACCCCCATTACTATTTAGCTTATCACCCTGACCCAACTCCCTCCTTACGCCCTCATTAAGAGACTGCTGCTCGATCTCCCTTAACAATTCTAACACCCTATCTTCCTTCCCTTCAAAAGAAACACCTAAAAACTTCCCAAAGTTTAACAACTTATCCTCCATCCAGAAAGACATGCCTCCACCTCCCATCTGTGATGAAATTGGACATACGTCTTCTATTAATGCCCTTTCTTTACCCCTACCTTGGGAATACAGGACCATGGCATTGCTAGCACTAGGAACCTTATGTGCCGGAGGGATCTCACCCTTTTGTTGGGACGCACCAGCCTTTGGAGTTTTCACCCCGCTGTTATTAGGATGACCGTGAGGGCCAACATTGTATTTGGTACACTGAGCCATGTGTGTCACATTATCTGGAGATGATGGCCCGGCACTAGCCGCAGCTGGGGTCAACGCAACAATCTCCACAGAGGGCGGAGAATCATGAAGAGAATCCTCGGCACGTCTAATCACCGGATGAGATAAGGGGGCGTTGTAGCTGGGTCCATCAGAGGCTTTAGGTTGTTGAACAACACCGCCAGCTTTGGTCGGTGTTGCCCCTGGATCAGATGGATGCAGGTCACTGGAGCTCGGTGAGGAAATGCCACTATTCGAAGCACCGTTTCCAGTAGTAGAAGGAGCTGTTGTTCCCGTATAGTTAGGAGCCTTAAAAGATGCATGTTGAAATGAACTGGGCTTCTTGGGTTCAATTCTAATGGAGTTGGGAAAAGTTGCCGGTCCCGTGTGTGTTGGCCCTGGCCTATGCTAGCTGGGAACTTTTTCGGCCCTATGATAATTAGAAGAGGACCGACCCATTCTGCTTTTCCAGCCCACGTTACTAACCCAGGGGTATTCACGTCTTACCCTTCTGTTGGAATTTTGCCTTGTTCTATATTCTGCTTCTGGGCTAGCCCACTGATTTTTCTCCCCTCCATACATAGACTGATTACCCCTCCCCTCCCTTCTGTTTGACTTCCCTTTTCTTCCGCTAGTATTACTGGCATAAATATCGGGCGAAATTCAGGGCTCAACCAAACCCTGTAACTCAAGTAGCCATCTTTCACCACGGTCAATGGCCTCCTTATATGGAAGTTTCACCCTTTCTGTTACGTATCCCACCTCTTAGAGCTTCCCTTCTTCCTAAAGGCTTAAACATAAGGGATAAGAAAGGGAATTTGCAACACTCTTAGTAGAAGGCCGAGTTGAAACTCCTTCTATCCTCAGGACAAGCAAGTTATTGAGGGCCCTTTATGCCAAAGACTTTTACACTAAAGGGGATAAAACAAGAAATATCCTAAGCAATACAGATCTCCAATTGATACTAGCACTAGTGGGACTGGCTCCCGGGGAAAAGGAATTGCACTAGATCTTGGCAATTACCTTTATTGGGTACCGAGAGCCTAACTTTGTGCTGTTTGTGCTTGTGAAGAGAATATTATGGTTATTCTGTCTGATAGCAATCTGCTTTCGTTCACCATCCACATTGTGTTCATTTGTTTTCAGTTGACATTCATTACTTAAACAGCGTGTTCAGTTCTGTCCTCACAGCTTTGGATTAGGAAATTGTGACAAAAACGTTTGAGTTATATGTCTTGGTGAGAGCATGTCTTGTGTCTTCCGCTTATGTTCAAACTTGTCAATAGCATCTTTGGGTTTTGCATCTCTGTGGCATTTGTAATAGTGTGAGAGTAGGATACAGGGCCCCTCCTCTTACCCCTATAGATCTAGAGAAACCGCATGAGGAATTCATTGATGAACACCTAGAATTGAATTGCATAATGCGACCCAAGAAAAATCGTTAATTCGCATTTTGTTAAGCTTTTCCTAATCTGGCTTTCATTTAGACTTCTTCTTCTTTACTTCTTTTGATGAGTAATAGTAATTTTACTCCATAGCAACACCACCAAGGTGAAGCTATGTACAAAGCAAAAACCCAACCTTCCCTTTTTCACACGTCTAGGGAGCTGAGGAAAAAGGGTCGATATCATATATATCTGTCATCTTACACCAGAAAGCCAAAAATTATAAGCAGAAGTATCTAAGTTTGTGTATAGGGTTAGTTAAGCCTTCTGAGATCTTTTTTTCCCCCATTTGATAAGTAACTTCCTCGATTACAAGACTCTTTTCTCAATTGTAGTAATCAATGTGCAAGTGCTTTAAGATTTGAAATTTCCTTTTGCAGTTGTGCAGGAATATGTCTCTACTGTCAAAACCCTCTGCCTTCCTTAGGCATGATTCATATTAGCTACTCAGTGCAGCAACCTATTACGTTGGACAGATTGTAGTTATGAAGCCAATTTGCTAAGTTAAATATTGGGATTGTGTTGTTTGTGAAGTTTGTGACCTACGATGATCGTTCTTCCTTAATTTTTTTGGGTCCCATCTGCAGAAGTGTTAATACTGATATTATTGAGTAGCGTTTGAACTTTTTGCGCCATAATGAGTTATGGTTGATATCATTGAGTAACGCTTGAGCTGTTTGCACTATAATGATATGTCATTTTACTGAGTTCTGGTTCTTTGCCTTGTCCCTTGTTACTTAAATGTACTATTATCTGCAGGTTATCAAAAAGGCAACTGCTGATGGTACACTTCATACTAGAGATTGGGACACTGAGCCTCTTTTCCTTATGCCCAGTGTGGATGCAGATAACAAGGAGTATGCTATCTCACTCTTCTCAAAACTGCTATGCAAAGCATGTGCATGCACATACTATGTGCTGACATGAACATCTGAATCTAATAATCTATACAGTGCACGGACGTATGACTTGCCAAAGTAGCTGTCATAGAGCATGAATGGACTAATTACTGTCTTTTTTTGAGATGTGGACTAATCACTGTATCTTATCTCTGCATTTGTACTTCGACTAAACCCTAAACCCTAAACCCTAGCTTATGATTGCTCTCTTGCAGCAATTGCTAAACGTAATAAGTTTTGCCAATAGTAGTTAGAATCATACAGCATGTTCCTCTTCCTTTTGCCTTTTTTTTGGCTGAAGTATTTGACAGTCAAAAACAAAATTCTTCAGCATATACAGTGTAGTTTCCCTGATTAGGGTACAGAATCATGTTCATGAGCCTTTTTCTCTTGATGCTGATGGATTTTCTCTCATATTTATTTATCTTTGACCAAATTCAAGGGATTATTTAGATTTTATCTTTTTCTCTGCAGAAGAGTAATATTTTCCGTTCCAGTTTCTTCATCTCCAACAAGTAAAAGAAGTCCTAGTAGGCGATACAAAAGTAGGTGGGAGCCTTTAGTAGAGGAGAAACCAACTGTTCAACCTGCATCAGTCACTCCTGATGCTTCTAAATATGGGAGTTGGAACAGACAGGTATTGGTTTTCTGCCTTTGACGAATTTTTTTTTCCCAGCTCTCTTTCTATTTTTCACCAGCTTCAGCCTCTTGCCTTAAAAGAAGAAGCTAAGAGGTGGTCTAGGTTGTTGAGTGGTTTATTTCTCCACTCTAGGATTCTCCAGCTTCGTGAATCTACTTTCTGTTCTGGCCCATTCCCTGGTTTACTATCCTGATTATTTTTGTCTCTTCATTGTCTGGTGTATTGGCAAATCATAAATGTGCATCGTATCAGCCAAAAAAAGATGTTTAATTCTAGTAATTCTTTATCATACTCTTATTGCGACAGACAATGGAAATTATATCATCCAAAGCCTATATTTCCCTAGAATCCTCCATAATTCATGAAAAGAATATTCATTTTGTCCAGGTTTCTTAGAGCATATTAATGGTATACTATTAAGTGAAACACTGACTGCTTTTTGGGTTAGGTAGCATACTGTGTTTTTCTTCGCATTGCATGAACCAAAGGTTGCGTACACACTACCCTCCCCAGACGTGTGGGAATGCAGTAGGTATGTTGTTGTTTGTTGTTGCATGAGCCAAAGGGACTTCATTATTAGGCAAGATCATTCTGGACCTATTACTGTGTTAAGAGATGTTAAATTGTTGGTAAAGGTACATAAGTAGAACACTCTCCCGACCTAATTAAGGCTTTTTTAAAAAAAAATAAGCTTGGCACATCTGATACTGGTCTTTTTGGCTTAGTGCTGCTTAAATTTGTAGCCTAGGGGTTGTTTTAACCTGTTGGCTTCTGACAATTTGGCACTAGATCCGTATGACCAAATAAAATGTCTCTCATTTGTGTGAGTTCGTACAGTTTTCAGGTGGAAAGTCAGATAACAAGGTGAATAATTCGAGTCATTTGAAATTCTCTTTACCGCAGCGGAAAACCCTCAAAATTGATGTCTTTAGGCCAGCTAAGAGGCAGTGTGTTGGTGATGGAATGGATACAGCAGATAATGGTGAAGCATCCAGTGATAGTGATAAGGAACGCAGACAATCGGCCCATAAGTCTGCTGCAGTAGCAGCGGCAGATACTCCAGAGGAAAGAAAGAGACGTGAAAACCGATCGAAGCGTTTTGAAAGAGGTCATGGAAATCGAGTAGCAAGTAATGATACTCGATCCAGAAATGATGGAGCTGGAAATGTGTACACAAGAAGGGCTACTGCATTGGTGCTTAGCAGAAACATTGAGGAAAATGGTAACCATGCTGTTGAAGATATTGATTGGGATGCTCTTACTGTCAAAGGAACATGCCAGGAAATTGAGAAACGTTACTTGCGTCTTACTTCTGCACCGGACCCTGCAACGGTAGACTTGTTGATCCTTTCTGTCATTGCTTGAGACTTAAGGGGAATGCATTATGTCTATTGACAGTCTTCACTTTGCAAGTGTTGATGATTTCTCAAATGTAGTTCTCCTTTTGCAGGTGAGACCAGAAGAAGTCTTGGAAAAAGCGTTAAATATGGTTCAAAGCTCTCCCAAAAACTACCTTTACAAATGTGATCAGTTAAAATCGATACGCCAAGATCTTACGGTCCAACGCATACGCAACGAACTAACAGTCAAGGTATTTTCCTTATGCTAATTTCATTACAAACGGAGCAAGTTATAAATTTTTTGTATCATATTGGCACTTCTAGGCTCTGAAGGTATTTTCTGAAAATGATCTGCAAGATCTTTTCTTATTACAGAAGTTGTATTGCTCTTTCTTATTAATATCTTCTTCATCTGCCTTCTGTTTCAGGTTTATGAAACACATGGTCGATTGGCAATAGAAGTTGGGGACTTGGCGGAGTATAATCAGGTATGTCTTTTCTGTGGTGGGAACACCTCAGAATTTGACATAACTTCTCAGAAGCTTCTTAATCTTTCTGTGAAGCTTCTGGTATGTTAACGTGTTTGAGAGTATTCCCACACCATTTATGTTTTAGTTGGACTCTTCTTTGTTTGAAGTATTATTAATTATGTGCCCAGATACATAAATGACACTGTCTCACTTGGTGTTTGCTACTAACATTGGGGCACTCCTTCCTGATGCTTTTGTACTTTGGCATTACTGGATTGGGTGACTGCCAACAATTTTCCCCGGTTTCACCTATATCCTAGTTCTTTTCTAGCTGGCAGTTTCTTTCTGTTAGCATCCTACTTTCTTTGGTCATCATCAATAAGCAAAGCAGTAGTGTGCTGTGAGCAGTATATTTATATTATTAGTTGGTTACTTATTTTGATTAAAGAAACGTAGAAGTTCCCACCTCCTCCCTAAGATCATTTGGTGGTGTTGAAAAGTTGTTTCTGAACTATTCCCTTGAGTTGTTTTTAAAACTTTTCAGTCTTTTTCTTGTTTTAAATTAGTATGCATGCTGGAGCAACTGCAATTTTAGATTGCATTTTAAACGTGCAATTTGTTGCAAAGACATTATTGGCATATCTGCTTCATTGTTACTTTTGGACTTACTCTCTTAGTTCTGGTATATGCAGTGTCAGTCACAGCTAAAAACACTTTATGCAGAAGGAATCAAGGGATGCGATATGGAATTTGCAGCATATAATTTACTCTGTGTTATTTTGCACTCTAGTAACAACAGAGATCTGCCATTAGCGATGTCTAGGTCAGTCAACTGCTTACTGTACTGGCGTTCTTGCATACTTTTTTGTGGAACTTCTGCAACACACTTGTTCTGCCGCTTATTTCTGTGCGTCCAGTCTCTTCTGTTATTTGGTTCACGAGCACCAAGAGTATTTTCTCAGTTCCTCTGATTAGTCCTTTTCGGCTATTCTTTGTCTACTTCCTTGGGCATCTGCAATACCCCCCAAAAAAAAAAAGAGAGGAGGAGGAAGAAGAAATCTGGTTAGATCTGCGTGTTACATAATTTCATTGGTGACATCCTCGCTTTCTGCAACTTTAAGGATGATTGTAAATTGCAGCAGACACATGTAGTTGACAAATCCTCTATGATATATTCCTTCTAGTTTGACTTAGCTGTGCGACATGCTCTGCCAATGTGAATCACCAACTCATATTTTAGCTAGTTATGAGTCTGCAATGAAGATTATTCACTGGCCAATCAAAATCATGCACTTTAATCCCTGCTTCTGAAAGTGTGCGAAACTTTATTACCTTTTCACTCTTTGGCCTTAACATACACATAAGCTTGTCAAAGTTAGACTAAATCAGAACAGTTTAGCTCATGTGTAATTTAGGAGAAGAGTGTCTACTCCCCTGTTCATCTTAATTTGTTTCGTACCTTCAGTTATGTAAATAAAGCATAGAAGAACAAAAGGAAACGAAAAAAGAAAAAGGAAGAAAGAAAACCAAAAGAAAGAAGATAGAGACTTGAGGTGGGAAGGGATGGGTTTTGGTGTTGGTGGTAGTGGGAAGGGGGTGATGGAAGAAGGCAGAAGAGAAAATGTGTGTGAAGAGAAGATGGAAAGGTGGTTTTCAAAATAACCTAGAAAAAAGGGCGTCAAGTTATGTTTAAGTTGGATGGAAATCTCAAATGCCACCATTTTGTCCATAATTTTATGGAGTTCGTTTGTATATTGCAAAAGGTGACACAGTGTCGCAGCAAAATTGAATGGTGGTTTTTCTATGGCCTAAATACCATTTCTTTGTCTTAACTCATAGTATATTTGGCCATCCTGTCAAATTTAAATACACCTGGGTGCTGGTAACTTGAGAAAATCTGCTCAAAACATGGTTAAAACTTACGGGATATCCTCTCTTATCAAATGTGGAATGTTAAAAGTATTCTGTTGTGCATTTTTCTTTTCCAGATTACCAGCAGAGGCCAGAGAGAACGAAGCTGTCAAACATGCTCTATCAGTTCGAGCAGCTGTGTCCTCTGGAAACTATGTTGCCTTTTTCAAATTATACAAGACAGCTCCTAACCTTAACACTTGTCTTATGGGTGTGTTTTGTTCTGAATGGTGCAAATTTAGCTACTGCATTAATAATGCTAAAATTTGATGATGTATACTCGTTCTTTGCAGATTTATATGCTGAAAAAATACGATATGCAGCTGTTAGATGTATGTCTAATTCATATCGCCCTACTGTTCCGGTCACCTACATTGCTCAGGTTTTAGGCTTCACAAGTGTCTTGTTGACAACTGAAGAAAGTGATGACGCAGATGGGGTGGATGATTGTGTGGAATGGCTGAAAGCCCATGGTGCATGCCTCACTTCCGATAATTCTGGAGAGATGCAGTTTGATGCAAAGGTGCGTTTGCTTCCTGATTTATATGGAAGTATTTAATGCAGACTGCTCTACAAGGATGTGTGGATAGGTGATGACTGAAAGATATAACAAATAAGGAAAATTCCCAAAGAAAATAAGAATAGTGTAAGAAGAAGAGATAGAAAGATATGATCTAGGAACCAAATTGATAGAATTAGGCCACAATTAGTATATAAACTAATTACTTACGTAGCGATTGATCCAAAGATATCAACGATAAAGGAAGAAGATCTATACCTTCAATGGAGTTCTTCAAGAATCCAATAGGTGTCTACAGAGCCTCACATAAACGTATCACCAAAGATTGGTAAAAACCCTACATTACTCAAACGTATACTACTACCTAAACAATGGTCTTGGGCCCAAGTCCAAGTACTTAAAATAATAAAAGCGATAACTAAAATAGTCGTGGGGCATGTAGCAGAACCCTGCTTGAGACATTGCGGAAATTCTAGTGGTGGTAAGTCTTGCTCAATGTGGTCAACACTGGTCAACCCAAAGTTGGTCAACTCTTGATCAACCCTTCGTAAAGCCTTCCGGTCTTCTTAATGATTCAAGTTCATGGTCATGTTGTCGTCAGTAGGGCACGTCACAAGGTTGAAACCTGCCATTGACAGGGAGCCAGGTATTTTTGTGAGAGTAGAGGGACGGGCTCATACTCTCCCGAGCTTCGAACTTGTGGGCCAGCTGGGGTTGGGCTAGCCAGCTTAGTCACTGGGTATTTCTTGGTCATGAAATAAAGAATTAAAAAAAAAAGAATCTGTAACACCTGAGGATCGCTCCTAACCGGTTCATGAAGTTCAGTTTCCCTTCTCTTTCTGTTGGAGACTTGCAATATGAATAAGAATTCTTGAACTTTGACTTCCACTATCTATCTGTAGGTATTCTACTTCATTGTTCTCAGCGACATTGTCTTGATTGTTTTAACTTCATGAGCTCGATTTTTCCTGTGTTGTTTCCAACATTTATAAATGGTGTCAACCTTATTCCTTTGCTCCTCTTACTCTTCTATTCCAGAATAATTCTTTTCTCAATGATTGTTTAGAATTACATTTCTTTCTTAACAACTGTTTGTGTAGATTATTTACCCAAAGAAACTCTCTATGTAGATCTGTTATCATCTGGGGTCATTATTTTAGCATCTTAACTCGGTCCAATCTCTGTGCATTCCTTTTGGTTCAACTCTTTTTTTTTTTTTTGTTTTCTTCCACGAAATGTTATATGCTGATGGTTCATTTGTTCCTAAATACACAGGCATCTGTGTCAAGTCTCTACATGCCAGAACCTGAAGATGCTGTGTCACATGGAGATGCCAGTCTCGCAGTTAATGATTTTTTGACACGAAATCCGTTGTAGGAACCTCGTTCATTTGCTGATAATGGCGGGGATCATATATTAGGAGAATGCTTCTGCTCCAGATGCATGGGGGAAGCAAATCCAGTTCTGGGTATTCATACTGGAACTCGGCAAGGTTCGTTGCATTATTACAATACTGAGTCGGATAACTGTAAATCATGTGCGCAAGCAGCAGCTATTTCTACTGGTGTCGGGGTGTATGAGTGGTGGCACAATCCTGTGGTTTAATCTCTGATTGGAGAGTTCTTGATTCTTTTCATGGATACAGCTAATACATAGAGATAGAGGGACCATAATCATAAGCAACAGCTACCTGTACTGTAGTTTGAATCCAGAGTAGATGTATTTGCTTACCTAGCCTGCAGTTGTAAGATAGGTGATTCAATATTTCGCCAATTTTGTTGATACACTTGTTGGAATTTGGCAACTTTAATAATACCACTTTATATTATTCATGCCTTTTTCTATTGACCAGTTTTTACGTTTACTTTGTTCATATTTGCATAGGTTGCGTTGTGATGCCACTGAGAACTTCCTCTTCATGTGTTTATATCATGAGAGGGGTAAAACTTCCCTTTGATATGTATTTACTTAACGGAAAGGAAATCATGTAAGTTGATGATACCGTCTTTCCAGGTATATCTTCTGAAATTTATTTCGTTTCTTCTATCACTAAGTTAATTAATACCGCAAGAGGTCGTTTGGTAGAGTGTATTAGAGAAAACAATGTATGTATTAGCTTTGTGTATTAGTAACACCTTGTTTGGTACACTTTTTCAACCTATGTATAACTAATACAAGCATTAGTTATATACCCTATTTGGTATTATTCTATGCATAGCTAATGCATAGACATTAACAATATAAAGGCTATTAATGCATGCATTAGCATGGTTAAAAATAAAATTATCCTTAAAGTCCCTTAAAGTTCAAGAATATGGAGGACATTTTTGTAAATAATTAATTTTCTTAAAAATTATAACAATGCATTTTAATTTTTATTACACCACATCAAACAATAGATAAAAAATAATCTCTGTATCATTAATGCTTGCATTAATAACCTGTGCATTACTACCCTCTGCATTATTAATACACCTCATTTAACATTATTCTTATGTACCCTACCAAACGATTCCTAAGGAATATAAGAAGCGGAATTCTGGGGTACATAGTAATAGTAGAAAAGGTGAAAGAAACAATGTGACTCAGTGATATAGAGGAACCAACCACCAAGTGGTGTGCTGGAAAGGTTAACCACCCTTAGCCGGCGCTTTCGGATTCGAGCCCTGAGAATGGATCACTTCTTTAGTAGGGAGTGTTTTACCCTCTTAGTGGAGCTACTTTGGTGCGAATCTAGATTACTGAGCCAGTGAACTTGGGATATCGGATATTAGAGAAATTCTCATAAGTTAACCTAAAAAATATGTAGAGGAAGCAAACAAGTAAAACTACATATCTCCAAAAAAGAGACAGAAGAAAAAAGAAAAAATATCAAACCCTGCAATTCTTAATTGGCTGGTAAAAAGTGGAGATGACTTTAGGTGTATCAACATATTTTCTCCCTTGATTGATATAGTTGGATTAGGTCAGGAATTCACTTGCTTTACCTAAAAATAGATGTGTATGCACGTGGGACTAAACTTTACCCTTTTCTATTTCTCTACCTTTTTTTTTTGGTTCTTTTGGTTTCTATTTTGGCTCTTTATACATAACTGATCAACAACATTTTCTGCATTATGGGCAGCACAGGGAGTGAAAACATCACACAATTTTTTTGACTATGTATGGTGCTTGCTTGTGAAGTGTTCTGAAGTATGTTTAATGTCTCTCACATTTGGAGAAGAAAGGAAACAAGAAAAAGAAGATTAACATTCATGGAATGACATCATCTCCAATTTAGTAAAGTAAAAACAGAGGCGAATCCATGATTTTAAACTAGCGAGTGTAAAGTAACACATTGGCTGCATCGCTCTTCTATAACAATGGATGCACTTAAGATACTCGTATACTTTTAAAAGAAGCGGATCCAAGATTTAAACTCTATGATTTCAACCTTTAATACTCTCTTAGCATTGAACTCATTATATTTACTTATAGGTTCAGACCTACAATTTTTTGTAATTTTACATAAATTTATGTTCTGCGTCGAAAGTTATTGGTTCAGATGAATCTGATGCCGCTACTCTACATCCGCCCCTGTATATACTGTAACTCGAGCTTGGAGCAGTAAAATTCAAAAAATCAAACAAGCCAAAATACACCTTCAAAATGTGAAGATCCTCAAGTTTACACTAGTGAAAAAGCCAAGGACAAAAGGCCAAGAGTTACAAGGAGTAGAGAATCCAATCCAACATGATTGGACAATGCAAAACTAGGAACAACTGAGGGATTATTGCTCTTAGAAGCAGGAAAAGAGGCCCCTGCCTCTGCTTCTGGTGCTGCAGCTGGTGATGCTGCAATATCATTTTCTACATTTACATGAAGTTTCATTCCTCCAAGACAATGTAGCCTATTTCCACAAACAAAATATCTGTCCCCTTGCTTTGTCAATGGAAAAGATGTGTTCCCATTTTTACTCGAATCTAGCACGTTGCTCGTGTTGCACCCCTCGAAATTCTCCTTCGTTACCTCAGACACACTATGGAACGACGAATATTGAAACACTACAAAAAGAAAAAAATCGATAAAACTAAGATCAAACGAAATTATTGACCATCAACATGTAGAAAGGGTTTATGTTTTGAGAAATGTATATTTTTAGCCGCTCCCAACAATAATAGCGGACTAAATGTACATTTGTATACAGTCAAACTTCTTTATAACAGTCTCATTTGTTCCGATATTTTTTTGCTGCTATATTGAAGTGCTGTTATAGAAAGCATATATTATAACATAACATAAANATATATATATATATATATATATTATAGACTTTTTAGCTAACAAATGTAACTAGTTTTGATCGACCGGCAAATCTTGTATTTTGCCCTTTATGTTTTGTGTAGTACGACAAGTAACTCTGGTAACACAGGAAGTAGAGTATTAATATGCTATGGTTGGTTAAATTGTGCTGATAGTGTAAAAATTCTTTATACTGTCAGTTTATATAATTTCAATTCATGTTGAAATAGTATATAATGATACTTACCAAGAACATCACCAACATTGAATCTCTTTCCTACTAACCATGTATCAAGATCGGTACTAATATCCCAGCCAGAACTATCACCCACAATGTAGTTAGTGGCTGAACTTGAACAAATGGCACTTAGAATCAAAATTACAAAAATTAGAAGAGTCTTTGCCATATTTGGAATATGAGAAGAATGATGAGAAAGAGGACATATATACATATTCACACAAATATATACACACACTGTTACAAGTGAACTTTTAGTTAGATCACCTAACTAATAACTATATAAGAAAAAAGCTTGTTTAGTTGAAATATCTTATGAACATTTGAGTGTTATGCACAAGGGTGGAGCTAGAATGTCGGCTACGTATTTTGGCCGAATCTAGGAAATTTTGTTCAAATTATGTATTTGTTTTAAAAAAGTAATTTATTAATTTAGAACTCAGTAACTTAAAAAAATTAGAATCTAAAACTCATAAGCTTCGGATCTTGATTCCGCGTCTTGTTATGGACTAATGTAGACTATTATTAATTGTTAGTTAGGTTTGAGAGGTTGAGAATAGATGAACTTGTTGGAAGGGTAGTTTAACACCTAATTCCAAATTCTTTCCTTTTGTTTTTACAATATAATGATGATCTCATCTGGTAAGGAAGCCATCAACCAAATAATGAATTTAGGAATTTTGATTTACTTCATCGAGTTTGATAGTAAGCAATTCTATATCCAAAATTTTAAGATAAGTAAACAACTGATTAACGAACATAAGATATGTTTTGTTTAGAATAACAACAATAAATTCAGTGTAATCCTACAAATGGAGTCTGAAAGAGTAGTATGTACGCAGACCTTACGCTTATTACCTAGTAAAGGTAAAGAGACTGTTTTCGATAGCGCCTCGGTTCAAGGAAAGAATGAAAAAAGAAGCAGTAATAACAACAAGATAAGATGATAAGATAACCAAAACGAAAGAAACAACAGATAGTAATAAGAATCTTAAAATAAAAAAATACAAAACTAATACTGATACTATTAGTATGGAAAAGAGATACGCTCAACTATATGCTAACCTTCTGCCCTAATTCTCGAATGCTATGTGAATTACTTGGTTGGTTACTTTTACATTATGTGTTAGTATAACTTTTTTATGTGTTATAACTTCATCATGTTGATTTAGATAATTTTATATATCCTAATTTAGTTTGCTAGATATCAACAATTTTTTCCTTTTCCAATGTTCAGATTCTTCTATATCTTTCTGAACGTGTGTAAACGAATAAGATTTGAGATATAAAACTTTAATTTACAGTGTAATAATTTTTTACATTTAATATAGCTAAATGCTCGGAAATTCCTCTACTCAATCGTTGTCCTGTTTCTTGTTGTAATGCATAAACCAAATTACCATACACTTCAATTTTGAAATATTCTACATAAACATGGCTTCTCGGCTAGTTGTAGAGTCACCATGATATATAAAACAAGGGTGTACATAGGTAGGACTGATTCGGGTTATTAAATCACCAATCAAATAACTGTGTTGGGTTTTCAAATTTAAAAACCACACCAGACCAACAAAACTTGGGTTTTTAGTTCTCAGTTTTCTCGATTTTTTTGGTGTTCTCGGGTTTTACGGGTTTTTTTTCTGGTAAAGTCTTCATCGCACAAAATATATAACTTGTGCTCCAAATATTTCTTTAATCCTAGTAAGATACAACTATTAGGTATTTTCCAAGAAAATAACACAAAATATAAGATAAGTTATGGCATTATACTAAAATATCGAAAATAAAGATTATGAAATCGCAGAAAATAAATAACTTAATTAATAAGCCATAATGAAAATTGTCATAAACTAAAAATACTAAATCATGCTAAATAAGTACAGCTAATAAGTATTAATTACTTGACTAAACAGTAAAGAAAAACATTTAAAATAAGGTTATGCATTTTTTACTATTTAAACCACTGCAAAACTAAAAAATAAGTATCCAATACTATTATCATTTCTATATTGATCGGATTTCTTTTTTTTTTTTTGGTAAGAGGGGAAATTCGCCGCTACTACAACTTCTGCCCTTCGGGTGAGAGCTCTGTGGTGAGCACTTTGTGCGCACTGGGTAAACCTCCCCCTGTGTAATAGCCTGCAAACCACACAGGGGATGTAAACCACACTAGGCAATCCCTGTGCGATAGGCTCAACCCAAAAGGAATTGAGGGGGGATTCAATCCCATGATCACCCTCCAAACCAATTGGGCAACCCCGAAGGGTTTGAATCAAATTTCTTTTGTTAGCATTAATATTGATTTGGTTTTGGTTTGTACTTCAT